AAAATAAAGGGATGTTACATCTCTAACATTTCCACTTAAAATTACAAACCCTTAGAAGCAGGTATTAGAGGAATAAAGTGTGGCATTCCACAGCTGATTAGTAAAACCTCTCTTTCTTCTCCTTCTGCTTCTATGTTGGTGCCCAGGCTGCTGTAATCCGGTTAGCCACTCACTCTGGATCTTTATCAACATCATAAACTGGGGAAAACCAGCTTGCTCTTAGTTATAGTAACATATTGTCAAATTTTTGAGTTCACTCCCAATTTCAGTAATTGCCATTATTCAGTGGAAAACATCGTTCAGCATTGCCTGTGATTTTACATCTTTACGTTTCCAGTGTGCAGGATTAAGTTGCATCTAGCGCTGTCTCACTAGCTCCACCCTCTGTTTCCAAGTGTGAGGGAGAAACTACGGTGGCCGCAAAAAAAAAAAAAAAAGTGAATGCCCCTATCTAGAGCCAGTGTTTGGTTTGTCTTCTCTGGGCTTCTGTAGAAACATGGCGGTTCAATATAGTGGCTTCCACAGAAGGTGAACCCTGTTGATGGCTTACCAATGAGTATTTCTATCAAAAATGTCAAATAAAAAAGATTGAACTGAATGTTTAGAGTGAAAACAGCATCACCACTGATTTCCCAATGTGTGACATGGCCGATTGAGAGCCGTTCCAGCGCAGAGAAGAACTTAAGTAACTAGTGATTGCTATCAACTACAGAGAAAATATTTATGTTTGCGGAGCCAAGTATCCTCAGATAAGGAATGACCAGGGGCCAACAAGATGCAGGCTTTCAGAGCAGAGAGAAGGAGGGGGGGAGTGGACCAATGTGGAAAGAGGACTGGAGGTCAAGTGGGATACAAAACAGATGTGTGCTGATGTAAACTACAAAACCATCTGGTGGAGACAAAAGTTTAAAACACAATGTCATTCAACACCCACACATTCTGCGCGCCATTTTAACTGCAGGCCCATGTCTCCATTCACACACCCAGCAATGAAATGAAATACCATATTACAGTTCTGTATTAACAGGACATAGTAAATATGTGAAGGCTTTGCATTTTCAATCAGAAAAAATCATTTTAAACAACATCATCTGAGACAATTATGTATATCCTACAATATTTGTATTTCCAGAAACGTGCAAAAACCATGAACGGCCCTATCTACAGCCAGTGTTTGGTTTGTCCTTTCTACTTGGCAGTTCAACATGGCGGCCTCCACAGAAGGTGACCACGCAACGGCTCATTCAAGGTAACAAAAAGACACAATTCTTAAATTCAGGTGATTATACACTAATGAAAGCATAACTATGAATATTATATTCCATTTCTGCCAGTAGATCCTCCTGAATGTTACACACTGGAACTTTAA